ATCTCATAAAAAAAACATTGCGCACCAAGCAAACGCCGAATAAAAACGCGTATAATAGTGCGCAATATTATTAGTACTTTAAAAATTTACATTTGTTTTTTGAGAAATCGGAAGTAGCGTAAATTACTACTTCCAGTCAACGGAAATTACTCAAATTTAACAGAAGGTAGAGAATTAGATCTTTTACTTACATGTGAAATTTCATTTATCTATCTGAAATAGTACTCAAGTTATAGGCTTTTGAAAAATTCAAAGTAGGAAAAGTACCACTTCCGGTTATCGGAAATCGCTCAAAAGTTGATACGGATCTACGATTTTGATAAAATACTTATATATGAAATTTCATCAACCTAGCTGTAACGGTACTCAAGTTATCGTGTTTACACACGGACAGACAGACACACAGACACACACACACACAGACATACGGACAAGATTGCAAAATTATGTTTTTCCGTATCAGTGAGGTGTAAAACGTCGAGATTTGTAAAAATCTCGATTTTTTTTTTTTTTGCACGATTACAATACTTTCTCTATACTACGTATATACGAGAAAGTAAAAAACACAGTTAAAAAACTGTTTTGCTTTGCACACACTAACATATTGTTCCGTTCACAATATTTATTTTAATTGCCCATGGAAAACGTTTAATTTACAAAAACTAACATAAAGAGTACTTTCATACACAATTATTTTAATGGCGTCTGGTATAATGTTTAATTCACACTAATTAATCAAATGGTTTGTTCATACACAACAATTATTTTAAAAGCATATGTAAGAAGTTATATGTCGCCCTATTTAACATACTGATTTGTTTCATATACAACAATTATTGTTTTTTTAAATGATTTTTTTATACACAACACATATTTTAATGGCATATGAATAAAGTTTGATTTACAACAATTAGCATACTGATTAGTTTCAAAGACAACAATTATTTTAAAAGCATATCTAAGAAGTTATATGTCGCACTAATTAAGATACTGATTTGTTTCATTTACAACAATTATTGTTTTTTTTAATGATTTTTTTATACACAACACATATTTTAATGGCATATGAAAAAAGTAATACGTCACACTAATTAACATAATGATTTTTTATAAACAACACATATTTTAATGGCATATGAATAAAGTTTGATTCACACTCATTACCATAATGATTAGTATCATACACAACAATGATTTTAATGGCGCATGAAAAAAGTATTATGTCACACTGAATGACCTAATGATTTGTTTAATGCACAACAACTGTTTTAATGGCATATGAAAAAGTAATACGTCACACTAATTAACATAATGAATTGTTTAATGCACAACAACTGTTTTAATGGCATATGAAAAAGTAATACGTCACACTAATTAACATAATGATTTGTTTAATTTTAATGGCATATGGAAAAGTTTACTCACACTAATTGACATAATGATTTGTTTAATTTTAATGGCATATGGAAAAGTTTACTCACACTAATTAACATAATGATTTGTTTAATTTTAATGGCATATGGAAAAGTTTACTCACACTAATTAACATAATGATTTGTTTAATTTTAATGGCATATGGAAAAGTTTACTCACACTAATTAACATAATGATTTGTTTAATTTTAATGGCATATGGAAAAGTTTACTCACACTAATTAACATAATGATTTGTTTAATTTTAATGGCATGTGGAAAAGTTTACTCACACTAATTAACATAATGATTTGTTTAATTTTAATGGCATATGGAAAAGTTTACTCACACTAATTAACATAATGATTTGTTTAATTTTAATGGCATATGGAAAAGTTTACTCACACTAATTAACATAATGATTTGTTTAATTTTAATGGCATATGGAAAAGTTTACTCACACTAATTAACATAATGATTTGTTTAATTTTAATGGCATGTGGAAAAGTTTACTCACACTAATTAACATAATGATTTGTTTAATTTTAATGGCATATGGAAAAGTTTACTCACACTAATTAACATAATGATTTGTTTAATTTTAATGGCATGTGGAAAAGTTTACTCACACTAATTAACATAATGATTTGTTTCATCTACTCACAGATCCGGATGCTCCGGGCCCACAGACCTACAATGTTAAGGAAATGTATCAGCCGATTAGCAAATCCATCGCTGGTAGAGCCATGCATAAATTAGGTGAGTACTGTAATGTGAGGCCTTGATTCTTTACGCTAGGCAGTGATTCTTTGAAACTATCGGGGGTCGGAAATTTCAAGTGGAAAAAGAGAGATACCCAGAGGCGTAGCGAGGGGGGGCGGGGGTGCGGAGCGCACCGGGTGATACCATTTAGGTGGGTGACACAAAAAGGCAAAAAATAGCAAAATATATAGAGAAAAACTTGAGGAAGGGGGGGGGGGTGCAAATCGAAAACTTGAGCGGGGGGGTGCAAATCGAAAGTTTGAGGGGGGGGGGGGGGCTGAACATCGAAAACTTGAGCGGGGGGTGCAAATCGAAAGTTTGAGGCGGGGGGGGGGGGCAAATTGAAAACTTGAGGGGGATGAAAATCGAAAGTTTGAGGGGGGGGGGGGGTGCAAATCGAATATTTGAAAGTTTGTCCCCGGGAAGGGTTGCTACGCCTCTGGGGGGTGACACCATTAAGTGCTGCACCGGGTGACACCCGACCTCGCTAAGCCACTGGAGATACCTTAACGAAACTGACGCCAGGCAATGCAACTATTCTTTAGAGCGGCCTTATTTGGCAATGGAACTAGTAGCCTTTGACCTATCTTTGGTGTGCCTGGATTATGAAGGGGGGAGGGGGGGCTTCGTCTTTGTAACCAAATATGTCCGTATCAGGTCACAAGTGACAGCTATTAACGCGGGTGTATGCTAGTATAGATGAACATAATTTGTCGAATTGTTTATACCCTAGTTCAAATACACCAATGTGAGTGATGGTCTCACTTATAGAATGGTGTTGGGCTTATCTTTGTTCAGACCATTGTGATAATTACACGACATTGCCTCTGCAAGATTATTTATATATAAGCTCACTGTCTCCGTGATCGCATCAATAAGTAATCAACTCCTTTATTTCGTCACCTTTTTCACTCTTCAGTGTCTAAGGGGTCGTCCATAAATGACGTCACACTCGTAGGGGGTAGGGGAGTCCGTAATTTTGTGACGGTGTGTGATGAGGGGGAGGGGGGGGGGGTTCAGATGGTGCGACGTCACACTTTTGCATTATAAAAAAAAGCATATGTTAGTAAACGAATTTTAGACGTTATTTCGCATTTTAGAAAATAGCTGTAATAGGAATTGATTAAAATACTCTATTTTGACAGAGCTCAGACAAGATTTTGGAAAATATCGATGTTTAAAAAAAAATTCAACTGCAATTTTGAGGGGGGTTGTAGGCTGAGGTGTGACGTCATTTTAGGGGGGGGTCTGACTTTTTGTGACGATGTGTGACGTAGGGGAGGGGGGGGGAGGTAAAAATAGTCCAAAAAAAGCGTGACGACATTTATTGATGACCCCCTAAGACGGTAACGAGTCCACCCAACTCTGATGGGTACCTAATTATGGTTAGGAAAAGTAAAGGCGGCTGGGCATACTACCTCTTCATATGCCGAGGTCACAGTGAACAAGTGAACTCTACTTCACTTGCCCCATTGACCGTCAGGTTTGAAAGGGAAACTTTACTTTTAAGTCGGTAACGAAATTCCCCCCTTTCTTTCTGCCTTTGACTAGCTTTCTCAGTCGTCTCTTGGTCATAACGAGATTGTTTTTGGTCAACTTCCCTTTTATTTTTCACCACCTGTTGTCCATAGAAGGGATGCCTCTACTTCTTGAGGTATCCTTGACTCTCAGAACAAAGCCAACTCATCTTCGTTTTTTCCATTGATCTGATTCCTATTCCATCTCTCAGTACGTTATCTTAGGGATATCATTAACTTTTATGTGTGTGTGACCAATGTATACAAAGAATTTGTTTTTAAATTCGTTATGGAATGCTTAAACATTTTTATAGTTCTTTTCTTACATACTTGCGTATTTAAGAAAAACGCTATAAAAATGTATCATTCCATAACGAAAATCTAAAAGAATTCTTAATTTTAATTTTTCATTTTTTTTTATTCGTTATGGAATGCTTAAACATTTTTATAGTTCTTTAGCAATGTAAACAGAAAGTGTTGTTCCGAACCTACCACTCCTCACGGCACCGAATCGCACCCATGAAAGCTTTATTTTTGTAGAGCTGATTGGCAGAATCGGTTACACGTCTGACTTGATGCATGGAAGGCGAGGCGATTCGGTGCCGTGAGGAGTGGTAGGTTCGGAACCCGTCGGGTCTGTATGTTCTGTCTTAACTTGGACTATATTCTGTACCTTTGTCTACCCTTGGCGTTGAAATAACACTTTCTGTTTACATTGCTATTTCAGTCACAACGCCTGCTTCCACCCCTCACCATGTTTACACTATACCCATTTAAGGAAGCTACTATTTGTGTGTATCGTCGTCCCTATACTTGTGTCGCCTGTGTGGTCGAATAATGGTCCTTGTTGTGTTTGAGGCTAACGGTCAGTCCCATTCGCGGTTCAAAGGTCACGCCAGCCCGCGTCTTTCGTGCATAGGTTGTGATTGTGCTCTGCCATGAAAGCTTTATTTTTGTAGAGCTGATTGGCAGAATCGGTTACACGTCTGACTTGATGCATGGAAGGCGAGGCGATTCGGTGCCGTGAGGAGTGGTAGGTTCGGAACCCGTCGGGTCTGTCTGTTCTGTCTTAACTTGGACTATATTCTGTACCTTTGTCTACCCTTGGCGTTGAAATAACACTTTCTGTTTACATTGCTATTTCAGTCACAACGCCTGCTTCCACCCCTCACCATAGTTCTTTTCTTACACAGTTGCGTATTTTTTTAAAAAAAAAAAGCTATAAAAATGTATCATTCCATAACGAAAATCAAAAAGAATTCTTTATAATTTAAATTTTTAATATAAAAAATAAATAAATTGTTTACAGCACTGAATGACGGTCCGGGTCCCGCCTATAACCCACGTGTCAACGCCCTTTGCTGTGAGCACTCCATGGGGCCGTCAGTGAGCAGTCGACACACGCCCGCCAAATACCTCGGCATGAAGAACAACGCCGTTATTCCCAATCCTCCAAAAGGGTTCCCTGCGGCACCTCTATTAGGATGAGCCGTTCCCCCGGCTATGCTGTTAAAGGGATATGCGGGTTCTATCGGAAGTTCTTAGAACAATGAGCGAGGTTAAACGCTAATTTTTAAAATACCAGCTTACGAGATAATATTTCAGTGAAATATTGCAATTTTTTTTGTTTTGGCAATTCAATATTTTTTAAAGTTTTACTTATAAAAAATATACAGATAAGTGGATTTTATATACATCACATAGTTTATAATGTTTTGTTTATTCATATACATAGGTGAATAAAGAATGATTTTAAAATACAAGGCTTTAATTGTTTTTTTACTTGATTTAGCGTTGTGTAATGTTGGCATCTTTCGTTGGTGTTTTGACTGCTAATATCGGGATCGCTCTTTTAATGAAATTCACTGCCTGAAGCAACACGAAGAACAGAAGCGGATGTTACTCGTTGCTAATACCGCGGGCGCTGTGTGTTGTCCAGCCCTGTGGAAGCCAGCTCGTAAAAAAAGGGAAAGCCATTCATTATTAAAACAACCAATTAAGGGGACAGCTTTTCTAGCATCATCAGCATCGTAATTAAAGTAAAAGTATTTTGTCTATATTTAAAAAAAAAACAATTAAGGGGGCAGTATTTCTTGAATCATGCTGAAGGAAACCTACGCACTGGCATGTTTGAAAATGTTTAAGGGGGAGTCGGGGTATTTAGAGTACTTAGAGTATTTTACTGCTTCAAGTGGTCAATCACACAGATTTTGTCTCCGAAAATTTTCTTCTGGAGTGCAACTTGCAGGGGGGAGGAGGAGAGGGGTGATAAATTATCAATCCTCAATACAAATTACATATTGATTTCTATCTAGTTGGGGACGGTGTTGTGTTCAGCGCGCACGAGAGATGCCGGAAAAACATCGAAAAAATTTGTCCGCAAAATTTAACAAATTCATTTAAGTTGTAAGGCAAGGGAGATAACACGTCTATAAATTAAATATTTAGAATAATCTGGGTTATGGTCACGATACGTGGGCAACCCAAGATCTCCTCTCTCAGGTGGAATCTTTGTGGCGTCGCTAGGGTTCCACTTCTCTAGGTTCATCTACTGAAGATATTTTCGAACGACTTCATAACAAAGAGATTTTTAAAAAATATTTTAATGGTAAGTTTACTATTGTGAAAATATACCAAATGTTCACAAGAAGTTGAAATAAAGTGTGCGATCCGCGTCTACAGAAGTTATTCAAATGGCATTATTTGTTTGCCGCAAAGTTCCCCGTCGAAACCTAACGATCCATAGTGCTGATGAAGTATTTATCTCTTAAACTCAGCGTATGACCGGAAAGTGTGGCTTGCACCTTGCCCAGCCGCCTTTACTTTCCCTGCAGTACCCTACAGAGCTGGGTGGACTCATGGAATGTTATGAAGACAGAGATCCGAACTAGAACATCGGGCTAGCAATCGAGCGCTTTACCAACCATCCACCTTGTCCCATTTGTGTTTGGTGTCAACTTTTTGTAAACGAATCTTGTTTGTTGAAATGCACTCTTTGGTAAGTTAATGTAAATATATATACATATATATATATATATATATATATATATATATATATATATATATATATATATATATATATATATACATATATATATATATATATATATATATATATATATATATATATATATATATATATATATATATATATATATTAATATATAACAAAACTATAAATTTAAAAAAAAACAGTTGCTGATGTAATTATAAATTTTTAAAAAATTGATGCAAAACAACAACAAAAAAATGTGCTGTAGTGTACTACTTGCCAGTGTATTTGAATTACAACCGCTAAGCGAATAAATAGCGTCCTATTATTTAGTGACTTCAAATAATAAACCCGGAGCGATCTCCCCTAAACTTTCTCTAATATTCTTTTATAAAAAAACAGGGGACGGGAACTCGGGATATAGACATGAATTTTAATCCATTTTAAATACTTAAACTTTTTAAAATAGAATAAAATCTCGTAGAAAAAAAGAATTGCACACCAGTGAACTCCAAATAAAACGTGCATAATAGAGCGGAATATTATTAGTTTTAATTTACATTTGTTTTTTGAGAAATCGGAAATAGCGTAAATTAGTACTTCCAATCAACGGAAATTACTCAAACTTTGACAGAAGGTAGAAAATTAGATCTTTTACTTACATGTGAAATTTCATTTATCTATATGAAATAGTACTCAAGTTATAGGCTTTTGAAAAATTCAAAGTAGAAAAAAGTAACACTTACGGTTATCGGAAATCGCTCAAAAGTTGATACGGAGCTACGATTTTGATAAAATACTTATATATGAAATTTCATCAACCTAGCTGTAACGGTACTCAAGTTATCGTGTTTACACACAGACAGACACACACACAGACAACGGACAGAATTGCAAGGTCCAGTTTTCACGACTCGATAACGCATAAAACGCCAAAATGTTTATATATTTGTATTTATAATTTTGCCTGATTAAAATAAAACCTCTATACTCCGGATGTGATGAAGGACTGAGGAGTAAAACGGTGAAAACTGTCAAAATTTCATGTTATTTTTGTGCACGATTACAAGACTTTCTCTATACTTCGTATAAACGAGAAAGTAATAAACCGGGAGTGATCTCCCCTAAACTTTCTCGAATATTCTTATATAAAACAACAGGGGATGGGAACTCGGGGTATAGTTATGATTTTTAATCAATTTTAAATACATAAACTTTTTAAAATAAAATAGAATCTCATAGAAAAAAGTATTGCACACCAAGCGAACGCCGAATAAAGATGTTCATAATGGTGCGCAATATTATTAGTACTTTATAAATTTAGATGCGTTTTTGAGAAATCGGAAATAGCGTAAATTAGTACTTCCCGTCAACGGAAATTACTCAAAATTTAACAGAAGGTAGAGAATTAGATCTTTTACTTACATGTGAAATTTCATTTATCTATATGAAATAGTACTCAAGTTATAGGCTTTTGAAAAATTCAAAGTAGGAAAAGTACCACTTCCGGTTATCGGAAATCGCTTAAAAGTTGATACGGATCTACGATTTTGATAAAATACTTATATATGAAATTTCATCAACCTAGCTGTAACGGTACTCAAGTTATCGTGTTTACACACGGACACACGGACAGACAGACAGACAGACACACAGACAGACACACAGACATACGGACAAGATTGCAAAATTATGTTTTTCCGTATCAGTGAGGTGTAAAACGTCGAGATTTGTAAAAATCTCGATTTTTTTTTTTGCACGATTACAATACTTTCTCTATACTACGTATATACGAGAAAGTAAAAAGGAATCACGCAAATCCATTTTGTGACAAGAATTATTCGAACAGTCGGTTCTAGTAAATTAATCCAAAACATTCGTACACGTTAGGAGCTGAGTGTACAACTTGAGCTAAGTGGAGAGTATGTGCTTAATGTACGATAGGAGTTAAAAGTACCATTGGAGCTTAATGTACCATAGGAGCTTAAAATACTAAGTAGCTGTGTAAGATAGGAAATTGTAGTACACTGCTTACTTAATACATGAACTTAGTGTTACACAGGAGCTTAATAATATACTGTATGAACTAAATGTACCATAGGAGCTAATGTAGTGAACAGAGCATTATTTGGGTGGTTTTAAAAAGGTGTGCACGTTTTTTGTGAGATGCATGGGATGGACCAGTCTATCAAAGACACATAAATTAAAAGTAGGATTGATTTCTTATTCGAAAACACAATTACATTAACATTGTAATAAACAATACACAAATTGAAACATACGTATTTTAAAAGTACAAAAATGATTATTAAGTTAGAGTGTATTTAAATTAACAAGCAGAAATATTATCTGCAGAGAAAATCTTGAGATATTAGATTTTAAGTGACATTAATGGCACGATTAACAAGAAACGCAATAATACAATTGTATATAGTTTATACATATATTTAAGATAACAAAAGAAGAACATGTGATTAAATTTATTTTACCTGGTATTTCGTACCACACACAATATCATATAGCCATTATTTGTCAGAAATTAAAACAAAATGTTATGAATTTAGATAATTTTTCATTTACTTATCTATATATATATATATATATATATATATATATATATATATATATATATATATATATAATTCTCATCTTGTAGAAAGGTTAGAAAACAAGCTGTAAGCGCGCCTTGCAGTCCCCTCTCTTCCTCTCTAGGAAGTCTGGTGAGCTGTGGTTCACGTTAAATGTTTACAATCGTAGAGCCGGGTTTAGTGACGGCTATTAGCGGCAGATAATTTAGTTTGAAACGATTTTAAACTTAGGGGAGGTAGCTAAGAGGAGGCTGCTTTCACTGGGGTGGGGGGGGGGGGGGGGTAGGGGTTGGGGGAGAGGAAGGGGGGTTATCGTCCTTAACGACTTACTTAGGAAATATTTTCAGTGACAGCAGTGGTACTGTCGAATTCACAAATTATGAATTACTGAAAAGTAGAAAATAAAACAACTAAATAGCGGCGTATGATATGCCGCGGGTCGGCTCGTTCTAAAAAATTTCATTTTTCGTACTTTAAATATAAAGAGTTGTACACGTTGGAATATATTTTGTTCAAAATTATTTCATTTAATTTTTTGACAGATAATCTATATATATAAAGCAAAGTGGTCGGGTGCCCGATAGGGCACTTTTCGGCGCCGCAGGCCCGTCAAATTTGGCAGGATGGTGCCTTGGGGGGTTAGAACACGAGGGCCGGTGACGGTTGGTCGAAAATTCCACGGAGAGGGGGTCAAAACTGATCTCGACTGACCGGCGCCTTATATGAGCTATATTACAAAAAAAAAAACTTTTGCCTAACGACCCCCCCCCCCCCCCTTGATACTTTGTGAGGTGGTAGGAAAAATACTTTACCAGTGTCCACCACCCCCCCACCCCCGCCAAAAAAATGTTGACAGCCTCCCCCCTCCCCCTGAAAATATCAAGTGCCCCCTACCCCGGAGAAAAAAGTCTGGAAGAATGACAAAGTTTACTGCTATAAATAGTGAATCTCTCAATTGCGTGTTCTAGCAATAGCCATTCTTACATCACCTTGCCCGGACAAAGTGCGAAATTTTTCTTCATTTTGGATATTGACCGGCCAGTCCGCGGACTGGCCATGGTTGACCGTGCATAGTCTGAAATAGTTCTGGACTTTGGCCATTGGTAGGCCAGTCTGCGGATGCCGTAGTCCGAATTAGTAGATCATGAGATGATTTTGGGTGTTTGAATACCGTAATGATCATGAAATCATGTCTATACACATACACCTTCACTCACTCATTCATTCGCTCTCACGCACACATTCTCGTACATTCATACACACACACACACTCATACACATAAACGTATCCACAAATTCATACAAACACATTCTTACGTACAGACACATACACTTACACACATCCATACTAACACACACACACACTCATAACCATACATTTATAATCATACACACTATCACACACTTGCCAACATGCTGCTACACACCTACACTCATACACACACTCATACACAACACTCACTCACACTCGCACACACACACATTCACACGCAAACTCACACACATTTTGCCTGTATTAGTTATCTAACAATTTATTTTCTTCCACCGAGGGAATGTCTTTTTACTAGCTTTTATTTAACTTGCTTTCTCTGCCATCACGTCGACATAGATCAAAACGGGCGAGCAAAATTTTGAGCCCTTCTAACTGACTGATTCGTTGCAAAGTTTGCATGGGGTCAAGACTTGCAATGCAATCTGACATCAAATTTTTACATAATTGGATGCCTAATTAATTTCTTATGAATCAAGTAAATCTTTTTTTAAATTAGTAGGGTGTCCTACTACTGTCATCACTATTATACGTGCATTATCATGTTCATTTGGTGTGCAATAGTTTTAAGTCATACAACACTATTGTATAATTTTTTTTTTTAATTTAAGTACTGAAAAAATTATAAAGAACGTTTTAATAACAAGCTTTTATGTAATAATGCATTAAAAGGATAAATAAATGATTTTCTTTAAATAATTGACAATACACTACTATCTAAATTATTATAAAGAAAATATAAAAAAAATAGAATTTTCGAACGGTAGTTTGACTGACTTTACATTATGCTAATTTTAAATGTTTCGTGACGTAATCAACAATCCGAGGCTATCGAGAAGTTTTATGTTCAAAACCAAACAGAACTATCGTGGGCTCTTTTTATTTATTGTGGAAATAGCTTTAATATAATTTTAACGCATTATATGTTAGCTAGGGTTAGGGGCTTGAGCTGGGCTTAAGAGTTAGTGCTAGGTGTTTGGATTAGTGCTAGGTGTTTTGGTTAGTGCTACGTGTTTTGGTTAGTGCTAGGTGTTTTGGTTAGTGCTAGGTGTTTTGGTTAGTGCTAGGTGTTTTGGTTAGTGCTAGGTGTTTGGATTAGTGCTAGGTGTTTTGATTAGTGCTAGGTGTTTGGATTAGTGCTAGGTGTTTTGGTTAGTGCTAGGTGTTTGGATTAGTGCTAGGTGTTTTGATTAGTGCTAGGTGTTTGGATTAGTGCTAGGTGTTTTGGTTAGAGCTAGGTGTTTTGGTTAGTGCTAGGTGTTTGGATTAGTGCTATGTGTTTTGGTTAGTGCTAGGTGTTTGGATTAGTGCTAGGTGTTTTGAATAGTGCTAGGTGTTTTGGTTAGTGCTAGGTGTTTTGGTTAGTGCTAGGTGTTTTGGTTAGTGCTAGGTGTTTTGGTTAGTGCTAGGTGTTTGGATTAGTGCTAGGTGTTTTGATTAGTGCTAGGTGTTTGGATTAGTGCTAGGTGTTTTGGTTAGAGCTAGGTGTTTTGGTTAGTGCTAGGTGTTTGGATTAGTGCTATGTGTTTTGGTTAGTGCTAGGTGTTTGGATTAGTGCTAGGTGTTTTGGTTAGCGCTAGGTGTTTGGATTAGAGCTAGGTGTTTGGATTAGAGCTAGGTGTTTGGATTAGTGCTAGGTGTTTTGGTTAGTGCTAGGTGTTTGGATTAGAGCTAGGTGTTTGGATTATTGCTAGGTGTTTGGATTAGAGCTAGGTGTTTGGATTAGTGCTAGGTTTAGTCTGAGAAAGTTATATTCATGGTTTTTGTCAGCAATGACACACAAAATCAATGAATTAAGCTACTTTGTAGCATGTATTTACATAGTATGTAGGCGTTTTCACCTCAGGTATTTTTGTTAGGGTAGAGGAAATAAACAGCGCTCTTATTTCCTCTTGTGTAAACTGTAAGAGGTATTTGTAAGAAAAGTTTTTTTTTATGCCCGACAATCCGTGAAAACAGTAAGCGTATTTCCTCGATCGTTTACCAAAATAAGCTCTATCCTTAATGACAAGCAACAGAAAATGTTAGCGTTTCTTCAACAAATGAAATCTTTTCGCGATGTTGCGATGTTCGCATAGGCGGGTCATACCAGAAGGATAGTTGACAGTGGCGTCACGTTGTGGAAATTAATAACATAGGCGTGATAGACTTTACCATAGGCGTTATATTTGTTGACTTTACCATAGGCGTAATATCGCTTGACTTTACCATAGGCGTTATATCGCTTGACTTTACCATTGGCGTTATATTGGTTGACTTTACCATAGGCGTTATATCGCTTGACTTTACCAAAGATGTTTTTTTTAATTATTGGTTGACTTTACCATAGGCGTTATATTGGTTGACTTTACCATACGCGTTATATTGGTTGGCCTTACCATAGGCGTTACATCGCTTGACTTTACCATCGGCGTTATATCGCTTAACTTTACCATAGGCGTTATATTGGTTGACTTTACCATAGGCGTTATATCGCTTGACTTTACCATAGGCGTTATATCGCTTGACTTTACCATAGGCGTTATATTGGTTGACTTTACCATAGGCGTTAAATTGCTTGACTTTACCATAGGCGTTATATTGGTTGACTTTACCATAGGCGTTACATTGGTTGACTTTACCATACGCGTTATATTGGTTGACCTTACCATAGGCGTTACATCGCTTGACTCTACCATCGGCGTTATATCGCTTAACTTTACCATAGGCGTTATATTGGTTGACTTTACTATAGGCGTTATATTGCTTGCCTTTACTATAGACGTTATATCGCTTGACTTTACCATAGGCGTTATATTGCTTGACTTTACTATAGGCGTTATACCGCTTTTGCTCTACTATAGGCGTTATATTGCTTGACTTTACTATAGGCGTTATATCGCTTGACTTTAACATATACGTTATATTGCTTGACTTTACTATAGGCGTTATATTGCTTGACTTTACTATAGGCGTTATACCGCTTTTGCTCTACTATAGGCGTTATATTGCTTGACTTTACTATAGGCGTTATATCGCTTGACTTTACCATAGGCGTTATATTGCTTGACTTTACTATAGGCGTTATATCGCTTGACTTTACCATAGGCGTTATATTGGTTGACTATACCAGCAGTGCTTCCTCCAGACTTATTTCTCCGGGGGGGGGGGGGGGCACTGTTAAAAGTATATATTTTCTACATAAATTTCTTTTCGTTTCGAAGAGATGGCTGGAAGAAACACTATTAACCAGTTATTACGCCACCATACTTCATAAGAGTAGCAGACACACCAACGTTTAAAAGTGTGAAAGACAGAGTAGAATGCAAATGTCAGTAGTTGCCTATTGGAAATAAAGCAAAGAAAGGGCAGAACAGATGCACAGGTCATACATTCAAAAGCAAAATAAAAATTGGTGTAAAAATAGTTTAATGATAAAATGCGATTGTCAAACTATTTGAAAAGTCTCACCTAACAATGGTGAATTTAAACAACTTTTATTTAATATACCATAGAAAGAGAGAGAGAGAGAGAGAGAGAGAGAGAGAGAGAGATAGCTATGTTTTATATGTTTCCAGCAACAATAGCTCTGCTTAACAAATGTAAATAAATGTAGGCCTTTAATATAAATACTTTATATTTTGGTTCAGTACAAGGTGTTTTGCAGATTATAAGCGTCAGATAGTTTTAAAGTCGAAGTTTCATGCTGTAGGCTTAATTAGCTTCTCGATCAAAAACTTTTCCTGACCGTACATGTTCATGATGATTTTCTTAAGGGCGTTGGTTTCTTTCCAGACTGTCGAGCTTTCCATGTGAACAGGCATGAGCGAGTACCGAGTTCGCAGGATCCCGAGACCCTCGATGGGGGGGAGTTGATTTCTGAACCCGGAGGAGGAGACGTTTCGCACGTTACCCTCGGGGTCTAGGACCCCAACGTAGGCTACTGTGGTGTCGGCTGGGTCATGGCCTATCTCCCCACCGGCGAATAACTCAATCGGAGTGCGGTAGTAGGTGCTGTAGTTCGTCCCGTTGTAGGCATCCTTTTCGGTCACACCCCCGCCTCGTTTGTTTTTGGTGACAATGGAGGTGGGGTCCTTTCCGTGGTAGACCAGGTTGTAGGGGTTCCAGTTTGACAGGGGGGTCAGGTAAATTATCTCCGTGGGCAGCGCGTAGCTCATCCGTTTCACGTACGTTTTGCAGACGTCCCCCTTGCACATTGTTGCCGAGACGGGGAACACCTTTTCTTGCGTGTTTTCCGCCATGTAGATATTAGGGTCGGAGAACCCACGGATGAGAGGCTGTTGCTTGGGGTCCATTTTGTAGCGGTGGTGGTAGTACGCCACGTTCAGCAGGGCCGTGGATCCGGGCTTCGCGGAGTAGAGGGGCGCGCCAAAGAAAGTGTCGTGGATTTTCGCTCCATAGTTATCTTGGCCTGGAATTTCCGCCATGTAGGAATCTAATTTAGACCAGTAGGAAAATTTTTGGTCATCTGGGCTGACTATTTTGTATCTCGCGGCTCGTGTGGTCTACAAAAGGAAAACAAACATTGATCTTGTTGTCCATCATATATATATATATATATATATATATATATATATATATATATATATATATATATATATATATATATATATATATATATATATATATATATATATATATATACATATATATATATATATATATATATATTTATATATTTATATATTTATATATTTATATATTTATATATTTATATATATATATATATATATATATATATATATATATATATATATATATATATATATATATATATATATATATATATATATATATATATATATATATATATATATGACCCTCTCCTAACTTACCACGACCAGTGACCATCACATAACTTACCCGAAAAGTGACCCTCACATAACTTACCCCGTATAGTGACCCTCACATAACTTACCTGGACCAATGACCCCCCCCCCCCCACATAACTTACCGCGAGCTTTTCCATGTTGTAATTTTTAGCCAACCTGGTGGACACGTCATCCTGTAGAACCAAGTACGAGGTGGGCACATCAACAGAGAGCCTATGACAAAGGACCCTGTAGTTCCACTGTGCGTACTCTGACGATCCATCCTGGGTGATGTTCATGATGGCGGTGGGCAGGAAGGCGTAGTTCTCCCCAGCACTGGACGTCCCGGTGTAGCCTGTAAACCGTATCTTCTCCTGCGGTGTATCAACAGAACGTCACAAAGCGTCAACATTTATAATTTATACAAGAAAGTTGAGGGGAGATCACTCCCGATTTATTAGATACTTTTAAAAAAAGGAATGTGATTATCGGTGACCGGAAAGAGGTGCAACGGAAAACTGCACACAAAATGATAAAGTTTATATTGGAAACTTGTATTAGTTTGTAAAATATGAATTGATCACCTAATCCCGTCAAATTTTAAGTCACAATTGTTTTAGGCCCGAAAGTTCCGTTCATTTTCTATTTATTTTTCATTATCGTTAGACCAAACATTTATTTGTTATTGCGAATTCAATTTTTTTAAAAATGTTTATATGTGAAAGGACAAACAAAGTATGGTTATTCTTCTTCTTCTTCGTTCTTAATTATTAATGTTGGGAGAGATCGAGTCTTATCTGCCAGAGGGTTTGAACTCGACACTTTTTTCGAATTTATCAACCATGAGCTTTACCGACTCGACCACGCTTCCATCACAATTAAGGATACGTGTCAACTGGTTTTGCGCCATTGAGGCCATTGACTTAGATTTCAGCCTGCTTTTCTTTTTGGATTTGCTTCCATAGCCTTTGTCCAACCAAGAACAAACTACAAGGCAGCAGTTGTTTGATTTTGGAGTTGACTCTCCTAGAAGAGTTGCTGTCCCCAGGTAACGAGCCTCATCTGCCCGAGGGTTCGAACTCGAGACTTTTCGGTTTAGCAACCATGAGCTTTACCGACTGGACCACGCCGACCCCTACTGTATGGTTATTGAAAAGAGGCATGATATTTTTTAATGAGTGCTTAAATCTTTTGATTGAACGTTATTTTTTTCATAGAGAGCTTAAACCTACTGATCTAAATGCGGAACCTAATAAATTAAAAAAAAAAAAGCAATCTTAAATCTACTGATCTAAATGTGGGACCTATTAAACTTAAAAAAGAGAGCTTAAACCCACTGAGCTGAATATGAGAGCTTAAACCTAGTCAGTGGCGTAGCCAGGATTGTCTCAAAGGGGGGGGGGGGGGTTCCAATTTTCACCCGGGGACAAACTTTCGATTTGCACCCCCCCCCTCAAACTTTCGATTTGCACCCCCCCCCCTCAAACTTTCGATTTGCACCCCCCCCCCCTCAAATTTTCGATTTGCACCCCCCCTCAAACTTTCGATTTGCACCCCCCCTCAAACTTTCGATTTGCACCCCCCCCCCTCAAACTTTCGATTAGCACCCCCCTCCCCCTCAAACTTTCGATTTGCACCCCCCTCATACTTTTTATATATATACCGAGGGGTCTATGGGGGGCGTTATGACCCCCCTAACCCCCCCCCCTGCCTACGCCACTGAACCTAGTGATCTGAATGCGAGAGTTAAACCTACTGACCTGTAGGTCAAACCAGGTCGCGGCGTCTATGGCGTGTCTATCGCTGAAAAACGGCTCATCGATGTTGACGCTGCTTCTGGTCCACGCCCCCTCCATGTAACAGAGGTGTGGCACGAAGTAGGGCCTGTAGTCTCGCGGGTAGGGGTTCTGGTGCTTCCACGCTCTGAACCATTCCCTCATTTCTTCCACCTGGGCGAGAATACTGCAGTCAGCGTCGTGATGACACTATGGTGTCACATCAAGATATGGTGTCACGTCAAGATATGGTGTCACGTCAAGATATGGTGTCACGTCAAGATATGGTGTCACGTCAAGATATGGTGTCACATCAAGATATGGTGTCACATCAAGATATGGTGTCACGTTAAGATATGGTGTCACATCAAGATATGTCACATCAAGACACCATGGTGTCACATCAAGATATGGTGTCACGTTAAGATATGGTGTCACGTCAAGATATGGTGTCACGTCAAGATATGGTGTCACACTAAGATTATGTCACATTAAGACACCATGGTGTCACATCAGGATATTGTGCTACATCACGAAACACCGTCGTGTCACTTCAAGATATGGTGTCACATCCAAAAAAACGAGGTGTACCATAAAGACACTTTTGTGTCACATCAAGATATGTCACATTAAGACACCATGGTGTCACATCAGGATATTGTGCTACATCACGAAACACCGTGGTGTCACTTCAAGATATGGTGTCACATCCAAAACACCGAGGTGTAACATAAAGACACCTTTGTGTCACATCAAAATATGGTGTCACATCAAGATATGTCACATTAAGACACCGTGGTGTCACATCAGGATACCGTGGTGTCACATCAAGGTATGGTGTCACACGAATATATGTCACATTAAGACACCATGGTGTCACATTAGGATATTGTGTCACATCATGATATGGTGTCACACCCGAAACACCGTAGTGTAACACAAAGACATCAAGATATTGTGTCACATTAAGATATGGTGTCACATCCAGATATGGTGTCACACCCATAACAACATAGTCTAACATCAAGAAATGGTGTCACCCCAAAGACACCGTGGTGTCACACCCAAGAAACAGTGGTGTTATAACATGATACGGTGTTACACCAAGACACCATTGTGTTACATCAACACATGGTGTCTTACCAAGACACCTTTAGACGAAATCCCCGACACCATGGTATGTGACACTTACACACCTCGGCACTCACAAACCTTCTGTAGCCTACTGTTGCACGCACATACACACAAACCTACAGACATACATACTTACAGACATACACACATGTCTTTTGAAACCTTGCAGAAATAC